GATAATCGCAGATACGTTGAGGTCATAAATATACAGTAAAATAGTTTTCAATGCATTTCTGTAATAAAATAATTCTTATGTAATTTTGTCGTAAAATGGCTTCTGATGCATTTCTGTAGAAGAAATTATTTCCAGTAGATCTTATCTATATTTCTTTAGTATCCGCTGCGTACGATATAGGTATTCCTGTGAAAGTGAGATTTTATGTATAAATCTAATTAATCCGATCCTTGATAATCTGAATTGTATTATTATAGTTAAATCATTTACACTTGGCATTTATAGTAAAGTCAATTGCACTGTGTTTTATAGCAAATGATTAACAATGTATTTTTGTAGCAAAACCATTTGCAATATATTTTATGGTAAAATGATTTACAACGATTTTTATAGTAAACTACTTTGCAAAAGAATAACAATGTAATTTTTTCATGGTAAAAATCCTTTTCGATTGATTTTGAAAATAATTTATAGTAAACTCATTTGCAATGCATTTTGCAGCAAAGATTAAAAATGCATTTTTGTAGCAAACCATTGTCAGTATATTTTATAGTAAAATCATTTACATTTTTATGATAAAATCCTTCGCAATTGATTTTGATAATAAAATTATTTGCAGATGATTTTCTAGTGAAACCATTTGCTATACGTTTTACAGGAAACGATTAACCATGTATTTTTGTAGCAGAATCATTGGCAGTAGATTTTATAATAAAAAAAGTCATTTGCTAAGAATTTTGTTGCAAAACTATTGGCCTTATATTTTATTGTAAAATCATTTACAACGCGTTTTTATGGGAAATGCTTTACAATTTGAAAATATTTTTGATAATAAAATCATCTGAAATGCATTTTTATACTTAAGCATTTTCAATTACTTTTTATAGTACAATAAAATTGGCGACACATTTTTTTTTTATATTGAATTCATTTATGCAATTTATTTTAATAGCAAATCTTTTGCAATGCATTTTATAGAAAAATCACATGCATTACATCTTTATAGTAAATTCATTTCCAATTCAAAATTCATTTGTAAACTTATTTCTGAACGCAAGTATTCACCACATCAGTGTAAATGCAATCAGGAGAGTGAATGTAAGTTTTGACGTATATGTTTACTAAATCCTCGTCTTCGTCTGCAGATGGATTGAATAAATGGATAGTGATTAATGAAAGTAATTAAAATCAAATGTTAATTATTAAAAATATTTCAAGACCTGTTGAACATTGCTGTAATATGTAGAACAAGTTGAAGTGTTTATTTAATTAATTATATGTAAGGAAGCGGCTAGTATATCACGGTCTGTGCGGAAAGTATCCAGCTATTTAATATGAACGGAAAATAGTCTACCTCTGGCAATGGCACTTAGTTCCCCCCCCCACACACACATACCTCCACAATTCAAATTAGTCCTTCTTCGGGATACCACGTGACTTATCCCAAGCTTCACGTCCACTTTTCAATACGGTCTACAAAGTCATGCTTTCCGTGTCGCTGTCGGCTGCCTTGATACATCCTCAATGATTTTAGCATTAAGCAAATTCAGCAGTAGACGAGTGCCAACTCCAGACAGCAGATGGTCTAAGAGATCAGAATGATGCGATAATTTGAAAAAACAAAAAAAACAAAACGTACACTACACACGAAGAATCTAATTGGGAGATCAATAGTTAAATAATATACAAGCTAATTCATTCAGCGTCTCCTTAACGATTGAGAAACCACACGAGAGAGTGTCTGTCCATGCGCGTGCAGTAACTGCGCCTTAATTATGTATGCGAATTGTCATGTCGACTTGAGAAAATTAGCAGAGTGGTTTCTCAATTTGTGAATTCAGGGAAGTTCTTCTTTTCGACCGGCTGCTAACCAAGGCCAGAGCGTCTAATCTACTTTGCTATTTAACCCGTATCTGGGAGACGAGGAGGACATGTGGGCAACATGGAACACAGCTGACTGAGTCGGAATTTGAACTCAGCTCGCCTATTCGAAATTCAGGGCCAGTATTCTTTATCCTAACTGCACATTCATTTTGATAATATTAATAATATGTGTTAATCCCCCACCACCACGAGGTCGGGTTGTGACACAAGGCCGGTTTAATGTAGGGAGCCCGAGCACGTACCCCCGGGCTAGGAACAAAATTTGCGTCGGTTGCGCTGGCCTCGGGTCGAGCACTTATCCCTCTCTCTGGTGCAATGAGAGGGCACGGCCTCACTTAGCTGTTCTCGAGGACTGGGCACATCTCAGTGTACTTTTCCTCTGTCCTTTTACGCAGCGGCCGCTGAGCGCACTCTGGCCAAAGACAGAGACGCAACTGAGAGATGATAATAAACCTGTTAAAAACTATTCGAGAGAGTAATTTACACCCGTAGATAACAGTAATAATAATGTCAAAAAAAAAAAAAAGAAGAAAAGAACAGTTATACTCAGAATCAGAAAGCGGCATCTGACATTTCTTGGGCACATAATAAGAAGGAGGGTTTGGAAAACTTAACACTCACAAGGCATATTGAGGCAAAGAGAGATAGAAGGTAACTTACTTGATGAGTTTGAATGGATAACGGAATGGGAGATGGACTATTTAGCAACGGAGAAACACTGCCACAAAAGATAGGAAGTTTTGGAGAGCTATGATCGTCCATGTCCTAAAAGGTCGCGGCGCATAGACAAGAATGATAATGGCGAGATTAACCGTTTCCTTATAGGAAGCTTTCGGCATTCTTACAACGAACAGTTCGCGTTATTGTCAGTTGTTATTTATAAACACTTTCTCTTAAAATAGATTTTTTTTTCATGAAAATAATCTTCTTAAATCCATTAACTGTTATAGCTCTTTCTCGTAATAACGGGAGTTTCCTTCCCAGCGTTTTGTTTAAGGTAGTGTGGAAAGTTAATATATTGATTATATCATGTCCTGCCCAATTTGTCATTGTTCCTTCAAAAGGTCGTCCTGGGTTGTTACGATAAACCACAACCGGCAGAAAGCCACCCGATCTCTTAACTGCTGTCGTTGCCAGCTACACCCGAATACGTAGCGGTAGCACCTGTTGGGGTCCCAGCTATAGGCAAATTGTGAATCCCCAAACAAAAATCAACGGTAAATTTTTATAATAAAATGACCAACAATACATTTTTATAGCAAAATGACAATCAATACAACACTAAAAAATATAAAAATAATATATAATATAATATATATAATATAATATATAATATAATATATAATATAATATATATATATAATATATATTATATATAATATATAATATAATATATATATATATAATATAATGTGTATAATATAATATATAATATATAATATAATGTGTATAATATAATATATAATATATATATATATATAATATATATATATATAATATAATATATATAATATATATACAATATATATATATATATAAATATATATATATATATATATATATATATATATATATATATATATGTAATATATAATAAAATTACCAACAATAGATTTTATGATCTAACTAAATATCTAAAAATACTTTACCTTGCAAGTATAAAATTATGTACAAAATATTCAGATTTCGTCAATAAATCTATATCTATAATTTTCAAAATGTGTTTGTATACATGTATGTATGTATGTATGTGTGTGTGTGTGTGTGTGTGTGTGTGTGTGTGTGTGTGTGTGTGTGTGTGTGTGTGTGTGATCGGATGTTGTTTATGCGTCAGTTTTCATCCGATTTCGATGAATTATTTTTATTTGACAGATAATTCTTCAGTGCTGGTTTTGAGTTCAAATTGTTGGACACAATGGCTCTCCACTACTTCCTGTCCATTATAACTCTCAGCAACGTTTTACTATTTACTATCTGTTCCTGGGTATATATCTTTCATAAAAGCTTTAATAAAAAAATAAATACCTTAAATTATTAATTAATAATATTATCTACATTTATAATTCTCAAAATGTGTGTGTGTGTGTGTGTGGTCGGATGTCGTTTTTGTGTTTCCACAGTTTTCATCCGAACGCCTCTGCGCGTGAGGCTGAAAATGATGATCAAAGGACTCAAAGGCTGAAGAGAAACGCCTCTTCAACTGCTGCTGCGCATGAGGCTGAAACAAGATTGAGAACGCAAAAACGGCCATTTTCAAGGCCACACCCCTAATTCAAATTTTTAACCACCCCATTTAGGGATGTGCCTCAGTTGCACCCAATTGTTGTTACTAATTTTCGGATGGAACTGCTCCAATTGACCGGCATAAATCCCCACTAATGAAAGACCCGGTCGAAGTACTGCTTTATAGTAAAATCATTTACAACATTTTTAATGGTAAAAACCTTTGCAATTGATTTCGATAATAAAATTATTTGCAAATGATTTTATATGCGTTTTTATTAAAAAAAAAAAAAAAGTCATTTGCTAAGTATTTTTTTTTTTTTTGCAAAACTATTGGCCTTATATTTTATTGTAAAATTATTTACAACGCATTTTTATGGGAAATGTTTTACAAGTACTGCTAGTAATCCATAAAGGTTGATATGCCGCTAAACAAAATAAACCAACCAACAATACTTATTTGTAGTAAAATTACCAACTATTTAAAGCAAAATGACGAACAATACATTTTATCTATAGTTGAAAGCACACAATTGCGATTAAAATATATTTAGTTGAAGCCAAAATAGTGTGTTCAAAATATATAGATTTCGGCATTAAATAACACATTGAGGTTGATATGCAACTAAACAAAATCAACCAACCGAAACATCAATAAAAAAGAAAATCCTATTTATTTTCTTATATAAATAGAAAATATCAACTAAGTTAGTGAGCAAAGCAATAGATATCTCCCTAAATAACTCTAAAAAAAACTAAGTTTTATAAAGAAATTATTTTGTAAATTAACTATCTGCGGTAATACTATTTTAACAGTTCATTAACAATTAGTATATGACAGAAGAAATATTTTGCATGAATTTTGACGAATTTTGAAAATAAAAGACTGGCTTTACAGCCATATCGCCTTGAAATACCATTTCTCGTACGATCGCTGAAGTAAAGCAACGTCGAGCCTGGTCAGTACCTAGATCGGTGACCGTTTGGTATTACCACCTGCTGTAAGCTTAGATGTGCGTGTTGTGTAATGGCTCGGAATTGTTAATCGGAGAGCCGAGTTCGAATTCCAGTCTGGTTTGTTATATTCACTTACCCGCAGATAGCCTTGGGAAATTTATGACTCAACTTCTTCTCCTCCTCCCCCCAACTCAGTTATGGGCTAATTAGTTAAAATTTTATCAATAAATCATTATTATCTCTAAATAAATTTACAATTTAAAAATATTTTCCGACTTTAAATAGCCTGTAAAAGGTCGATAAGCCGTAAAAAAAACGAACCAATCAATCAAAAAATAAAAGACAGAATTAAATTTATAAATTTAAGATTAAATACTCAGAATAGTCTTTTTACTGTGTATGCAAAAAATAATCAATAAAAATATGCCACAAAGAAAAACCAATCAATATTTAATATTTTCTTGCCAACCAGAGAAACTTTATTACAAAAAAGAAAATCATAAGTGAATTAAGACTATGTTTATCCTGTACATAAAACATATTTCAACCTGTCAATAATTTTATTGTCAATAAAACATATTACCCTGTATTCGTGTTACGCGCGATGTGCATTTTAAATGCATCTTTACTTTTTGACTACAGTAAATGAATATATAGTTTGATCAACGGCATAGCCAGGGCGAGCAGTACATACGTTAATTTGATATCTCGTGTATGATGCGACCTCCTTAAAATTAGCTTCAAAATAAGGTCTTCAAAAGTCGCATGATACGCGAGTATATATGGTTATCGTTTTTACAATAAAAAATCATATTTCCTGATAAAATTATGCAAAATTAATTTGCCTAGAAACACCCCAATGCATTTACAGTGCCACGCAAAAATTTACAACACATTACAAAACATTGTTTTTTTTAGGTATTTCTAACATAGATTAATGAAACTTTTACTGATTATAATACATGTGTTTAAGCCTTTAGTCAAACAATCAGATTTAAAAAAAAATAATCAATAAAAATATGCCACAAAGAAGAACCAATATCTAATAGCACAAAAGCTTACATTTATTAAATAATCTATTAATATTTCGTAGCGTAAGTTATTGCTAATTACAGCATGTAGACGTTTAGAGTATTCCTCGGCGAATTTCTTGTATGTTTCTTGGCTAATATCTTTCCATTCTTCATGACAAAATTCCTTTAATTCATGCAGATTTTCAAGGTTCCTTCTTTGAATGCTCAGTTTCAGCTCTCTCCATAACTTTTCAATCGGATTGATATCTGGAGATTGACATGGCCATTTTAAAACGCCTATTCTATTTGAACTTAACCATGATTTTTTAAAAAATTTGCAGTATGTTTAGCATAGTTGTCTCGTCGAAAGATCCAACCTGGTTTCAAGCCAAGCGAAAGTGCAATCTGACGTAAATTTCTCTCCAAAATATCCCTATAATATGCTCCATTTATCCTCCCTTCTATTATTTCAATGTTCCCTACAACTTGAGCACTGACGCAGTCCCAGATCATGATTGATCCGCCTCCAAATTTTACTGTTGGGATAGTATTCTTCGGCGAATATTCAGTACTTTTCTTTCTCTAGACCTTTGCCTAAGCATGCAAAATGCTGCGGGTCTAATACAATGCTCGTTTGCAAAATCCAGTCTAGCAAGAACATGTTTTTGCTTAAGAAGTGTTTTTTTTTCCTTGGAGTCCTCGAAAAGATGTCATCTCAACGAAGTGAACGACAAATTGTATCCGTAATCACTTTTACTCGACTTACGTCTAGTTCTCCCTGAAGTTCTTTAAGCGTAACTCGGGGTTCGTTACCAACTTTTCTCGCCAATAATCTCTTCCAGTGACGAACTATCGTACCATCTGAACACAATGGCATATATAACTGACTAGATGGCTTCCTATAACCAAGTCCATTTGTATGAAGGTCAACAATACTTTTACTGAAGTCTTGATCAATTATTTTGCTTTTCCCCATTTTGTCAATGTTTAAAGGACAGTTGACAGAAAAAGAATGACGCAATACTTTTAATCATTCCTAAAAGTAATCACAAAATGAATCTAGAACGTTCTTAAAAAAAAACATCCTAATTTGAAACATTCTAGTAAATCTTGAACACTTTTATAAAAAAAAAAAAGCTGTTGTAAATAAAAAAAATTGTTATAAAATTTTGAGTTACTAAATGTTTTTTCTTTTTGTGATACTTTTTTGAAGTTCTTTAAAAAAAAATCTGATTTTTTTAACTGATTACCTAAATATATGTTCCAGAAGTAGTAAAAGTTTAATTAATGTAACTGTATTAGAAATACATAAAAAAAAAACTTTTTTGTAATGTTTTGTAAACTTTTGCGTGGAATTGTATATTCATCATTTTTCAAAATCAAAAAAATCATTCTCTAAAATAGAGGGGGAAACAAAAAATGAAAATGACACCAGTGGGTGCAAGAATGACTGATGTAAAGTTCCTTGTCAAGAAAACAAGCACATTATAAACACCAAACATTACAAACATCAAATGAAAACACAACTCCAAGGAAAATTAGTATATATATTTTTCTAAATACATATTTGTAGCATGCATATAACAACTTGAAGATAATTAATAATCTAATTTTTAAAAAAAGGTATAAATCCCAAGTTTATTATATATATTTTTTATTTGCTACGAATTTTTAACTTGTCGAAAAAAACTAACACAGTGTTTTTGGCAAGTTAATGTTTAGGCTGAGCCTTTAGCCTCCAATGTCAATTTCTCACAGTTAATTGCTAAATTCCGCTTCCTCTAACCTTACAGACATGAAAATTCCACACCGGGGATGAAACGACAGTTGGCCACTTTCGACGTCTGCCGAAATAGCCAATTCCACATATGAAGTAAAAGGATTTGTTATTAATATATATATATATATATATATATATATATATATATATATATATTAAGAAATGTCTCATTAAATAATTTAGACAAGTTTTGTCTACTTATTTTTAATAGGATCATCTCATAATTACAGACAATTTTCTTAGTATCCTTATTTATTACATAATAAAATTTAAAACTCGTACAGTACATAACATTAGTATTTTTCACTTCATAAATAAAAATTTCAATAACAATTTTGTCTTAGAAAAGACAGCACCCTGAAGGCGACATTGTGCTAATGTCGAAAGTACTCGGAATAAAATGAATATGCATCAACAAGGTAATTTTCTTTCTTCCTTTACGTAAGATACTAAGAAACTTCTCCGTAATTTTTTGAAGTTCCTATTAAAAAATAAGTAGACAAAACTTATCCGTAATTATGAGAGGTTCCGATTAAAAAACTTGCCTAAAATATTCAATGAGACATGTCTTAATACATACATACATACATATATATATATATATATATATATATATATATATATATATATATATATATATGAGTTAAAACCGAAGTATCGGTTTTAATGAAATAAAATGAACATTACCATGAACTTTTAAAGTTTCCACTTTAATATATATATATATATATATATATATATATATATATATATATATATATATATATATATATATATATATATATATGATAATATTAGTGGTCAATATATATATATATATATATATATATATATATATATATATATATATTTCCAAGAAGATAAAATCTAGGTAGAGGTCAATGTACAGTACAGAGCAAGAATATAATATAAAAGGGTCAAACGCTAATATTCCATGGTTATATTTTATCGTGATTACGATTCCAATGTAATAAATTATTACCATGGAATATTAGTGTCTGAGCCTTTTATATTATATATAGATATTTATTTAAGATAAGACGAGAACCACGCATAAAAGTAAATTCCAAAACAAATTAATCCCTATGAATCAATATTTTCCAAAATGATCGTAATACATTTGAATTTAGTTAATATTCTAATTTTTTAATAATACTATAAATCTCAAGTTTTATGATATATTTTTTATTTGCCACGAATTTTTATAAGAATCACTTTCTCATAAACCAATTAGCCTTTATTATTGCACAGCAGAATAAAAATTATTACAAAAAAAAAATTGATCATAAATGCAACTACACCAGAATTAGAACTCGGGTCGGCAATTCCACTTTACGCGCCAATATCCTTTACACTTTCTGCACATCCTAATGTTTGCATATATACCATTTTATTCTGCGATATTCCAGCTCGTGGACCAAATAACAATTTTTTTAATTTTTCTAAAATTTTTTATTTAATTTTTTTTTATTTTTTTTTATTTCATCGTCTCAAATGTTGGATTTGAAAGAACCGCAGACATTTTTTTTTGTTTATTTGTTTGTTTGTTTTTCAACTTTTCGATTTCTGATATCAGCAATGTCAGAGCTTCATAACAGATGGAATAAAACTGATTTAGATAAACAAGTCTTGAAATTTATGTGACTTTCAAGACTGTACTCGTTCATCGCTCGAGTATTCCATCCTCATCACCCGCGTTCCCCCGCTCTCTCTTACTCACCCCTTAACAGACGCACACGCGCACGCACACACACACGCACGCACACACACACGAACATTTTTCGTGTATATGAGCATATCTTAAAATGTGTGTGCACGTGCAGCTTCGTGTGCGTGTGTGTACACGAATAAATAAGCTTTCAAGTCTCGACTGTAGAACGCTGGTTGGCAGGCTTATCTCGCAGACCGTTGCCACTTAAATTTATAGATATACAGGACGCCTACTGTAGAGGAGTCGTTATCATAATTGTTTTGCATACTGCAAGGGAATTTGGTTCTTGATGAGTTTAGTTCTCACTGGGTAGACGGTGATTACGATCTTTTCATAGACTGAGTTAAGCTTAATTCTTTTATATGCCACATCCTTTCAGATCATGACTCTCCACAACTTCCTGCCTTTTGTTGTGAAGATTCATGTTCTGGTCACGGAGAGTCAATTTCTTATCTTTTCTTTATCCCCTATTTTGGCATCCATTCCCACAAACTCGCTGTTTTTTTTTTACTCGTTAGTTCCCACTTTTCTTTAACTTTTAAGTA